AGTAGATAAATTATTTGTTAACATTTATCTCTAAAAATTAATCCTAATATTTTACAAATGCTAAACCATTTTTGCAAATTAATCTTTTTATTGAAGCGAAAAAATGATGAAAGCTTTCCACAGTTTGGACGAAATACACGTGTCGCTCCATATAACCCTCTCGGCACTTCTAAACTTTCTAATAATCCCAATATAAGACCTAACCCTTCAACAAGAACATTATTTAACCTCAAGAAGAGCAATTCTTTAAGTGCTCGATCTAACAACGTTCCATCGGCCGAAATGGACAATCTCCGTACGGAAAATGCCCAACTTCGTATTGAGCTTGAAAGACTTCGTGCAGAACAAACAAAAATTTTATCTGAAAATGAACAATTAAAAGTTGAAAATATTAAAATTTTACAAGATAAAGGTTTGTTTATTTGACTTTTAAAGTATCTCATTTTATGTAAATTATAAATGAACAAATATGTCTAATTAGAACGTGATCGGACTCAATATCGAACCGAATTGGAAGTGGCTAATAACTTAATAATCGAACAGTCAACTACCATGACTGAACAACAATCTCTCATTGAAGAACTTATGGCTCAATTAGACGAGCAAGAACAGGTCTGTCAAGATCTTCATAACATGATTGATACTTTTAAGACCAAACAAAACCTCTCAGCCAAAGTTGAAGACAAACCAAAAGTTCAAATAACCAGTGATGATGATGATTCTACAGCTCAAGTTTAAATTTTTATCATTCTTTTTCTTATGTGACGCTGTTAATATTTATTTTTATGAGTTACTATTAATATTAATGTTTATAATGTCACTAATTGCGTTTAAAAATATATGATTCAGACAAAGTAAATATCAATTTAATAAAATGTTATTTTTTTTTTTGTTAATTGACTATAAATTTTTATATTATCTTAATTATTTCAAAGTATATATAATTATTGCATATTTATAATGACTTTTGTTTTTTTTTTAATTCTTAGCATTTATTAAAGATATCTTTAATTCTCTAAATTTATCCTATAGATGCTTAATTAAAAATGTTAATACAATGCTTTTATTCGTTTTTATTATTATTATTATTATTAAAGAATATTAAAATATATTGTAATATAACTAATAACCTTAATTGTTTCTTTTAAAAAACCTAAATTAAAGTTTGCTATGGTTTTTTTTTAAAAAAAAATTAAAGAATAAGATTTTTGAATATACTCAAGTTAGGAGTGACATACTCCGGAGATAAGCTTAAAAATCTGAAGTGAAAACTAGAAAACAAGAGCAACTTTAAGCAAGTCTGGAGTGACTCCGGAGTGAACCCAACCCAAGTTGGAGCGGGTTAAGGATATATTGCTTGCTGTAGATATTAATTGCAACTTTTTTAAGGTACGACTAGAGTTGCAACCAGTGTGCAAAATTCAAAAAAATGTCTCTTATTTGAGAAAAATTTGATCAAAATTTATGTTCTTTGATTAATAATTATTGTTAAAAAATTTAAAAATTTTAGTTATTATGAGAACAAGTTCAAAATTTGTGAATATATTTATATTTTTTGAGAACAATATAAAAAAAAGTTTGTTCATTTGAGAACATGTTTGAAAAATTGAATTTGTACACTGGTTGCAACCTATTGTTAAATTTTATATTTAAAAAAATTAATTATAAAAATGTCATAATATCGTAAAGTCGCAACATGTAATATTGTACGTAATGGTAGGTTATTTATAACGAAATTATTTTTCTCGATTTTGATTGGTTAATTAACGTGTATAAAAACCGATTAAAAAAATTCAATCCTTCAATAGTTTCTATTTTCTTGGTGCATGTGTTTTAGGTAAACCTACTTTTCAAAATCAGGTTAGTATTTTTGCATATTGCTTCAAGGTTTTTAAGATAGTTAGAAAGGAACTGAAAGCGCGTTGTCAAATAATCAGACTTGACATACAGTAGACGGTCTACTGTGAACGTTCTTTCTTACTAAGAGCAGAGTCATAGAACACGGTGAACGGAAAATCCACCCCGTCTTAAAGAAGAAGAAAGCAACAAATAAAGGCGGGATGTGTAATTTAAACCCTATGAGACTTTTTAAATAGGGTCTGCTGACTCTGGAGGAGGATTGGCTGACTTCCCTATGATGACGAACATCTTTTGCTCACGTATAGGAATTTGCCGATTTACGCAAATAAAATTGGATCTTAAGCTGAACTTGAGCAGGATAATGACGATAAAACTTGACGGTGATTGTTGTTATGTTACTATTGTGTCATTCATACTCGAGCTTGTTCAAATCTGTAAATTTAATTAATTATAAAGTCTACAGATTACACATTTGGCGTGACCTTCATTTCAAAGTTATTTTTTTGTCTTTTAACTTTCGTTTTTTCTCATTAAATAAATAGAAATAAACAACCACGTGTATTTAAAACCAATTAAATTTCAATCTTTCCATCCTTCGGACCTTCAATAGTTTCTATTTACCTAGTATACTTAAATTTTAAATTATACGTACACATAATCTACATTACATATTTTGCTCACTTGAATACAAATACTTATCTCGCGATAAATATTGATAATTTAATATTGTTAAAATAAAAATCCGCCTATACAACTTTTATACGGTAACAGTTTTAACTTGGTAACCTTAAAATAAAAAGTTTTATTATAGATATTAGATATGAAATATCCATTTTATTAAGTTTAATAACTATTGCAAATTTCATTTAAAAAATTATCATTTCCTATATATTTTCATTGTTTATTTGAACAAAGTTTTTTATCAACTTTCTTTTATATAAATATTACAAGAATGTTTAATGAATGATAAAATTTTTGATAATGCATTATGGTCGTACTTTCTCAGAATTTTTTTTAAATGATTGCTATGACACTTTACGAAAATGAATTATTGTTCTAGTTGTTAACTTTTTGTTTCTGTCATTGATGATGGATGCTTCCTATAAGGAATCCACTGTTCAACTCTAATTCTAGCGTTATCATCCATTCTCTGAGAACTTACTTTCGCTACGTTTCGAACCCATTTGTTCATCCTTTCCTTTGCTTTTATAATAGACTTATCAACTAATCTCGTTTTAAGGTATTCTCCGTACTCTTCATAATATTCTTCATCCGGATCCATTTTTGATTCAATTCCGTCGCTAGTTTGTTGTTTCTTTTCTGCTATCTTTGCTTTGTATAAATCTGCATCATAACCTAATTCTTTCAGTTGTCCAAGAATCCTAATTTCGTCTCTCCAATAATTTGTCTCTGCGCATAATTTTAACACATACATAATATCATCATCATCAGGTGCAATGCTGAAGTAGTGAAAATCGTTCCATAATGATAAAGTTTTATCTATTTCTTTTGCATCGGCATGTGCTCTTATCATCATAGAAAGTAACATATGATCCGGTGAAATTCCTCGTTCAACCATTCTATTATACCAATATCTCGCTTGAGCTAAATTTCCGCCTTTACTTGCGCCCGTGATTACAGCAGTAAACGTTTCTCTATTAGTCATATGATTATGCTTATCCATTATTTTTAAATACTTTTCCACTACGGGTACATCATATGATTGAGCGATTCGCCAGAGAACTCTTTCACAAGCATCCTTGCTTGGTACAGTTAACCTTTCTATTCGCTCAAAAACTCTTTGAACCAAGTTAGGATCTTTAAACTTTGATGCAGTATCTATTAATCGATTTACAGTCATTTTATTTAATACAACCTTAGATTCTAACATATTATCCACCAATTTAAAAGCTTGTTCAACATAATTTTGTGTTAAGAAACCATCAATGAGAGAAGCGTAAATATAATCATCTGGTTCAACGTTGTCATTCTTCATTGCAAAAAATAATTCCATAGCTCTAAACATATCTTTCTGTCTAATATGAGCATTCATCAATATTGAATAGGTTGAAACATTCGGTTTGAATCCACAATTTTGCATATATGAAAGAATTTCCATAGCGTCATTGTATTTTGATTCTTTAAGAGCTTGATCCATACATGTGTTAAAATCAGTATGATTCGGAGTTACTTTATATGTATTTCGCAACTTTAATAGAGCTTGTAATCCTGTTATACCAATCCCTTCAAGAGTAGATGAATTCGGTTTAATTCCTTCGAGTTCCATTTGATTGAAAAGATGTAATGCATCAGTACGTTTTCCCATTGCTTGTAAAGCTTTTATGAGAATATTATATGTAACTAATGTCGGTTTTACACCTTTTTCTTTCATTTGTGTAATAACATCAATTGCTTTCTGTAATTCTTTTAAATCTTTTGCATTTCTTGCAATTACGTTAATATATGCATTATAAGTATAAACATCAGGTTGTAATCCCTCATTAAACATAAATTTATAAAATTGATGAGCTTGAGGAACATTACGTCGAACAGAACATACACAAAATAACATTGTAAAAGTTTTTTCATCCCTTTTAATATTTCTTTCTACCATCTCTCGATAAATAGCCATTGCGGTATCAGATTTGCTGAGTTTACTAATAGCTTTTATCATTATATTATATGTTATAGTGTTTGGAAGAATATTTTGTTTTTGCATATCTCCAAAACAAACAT